AATAAATCTCGCCGTTCATTACAAACATACATTAAACAATTTTATTCAATAAATCACAAAACGAAACTACCTGATAGAAATATTCAATGTTAACTTTTTATAATATGTTGACAATTGTAGCATGTGTGATAGTATATTTGGAATTCGTGCAGTCAGCTGTCTTGTCTACTCGAATGAGTAGTCTAGTTTTATTTTTTTTCAAGGTAGACATATTCAGATAAAGACACGTAAACATGAGTCAACGACTTGCTGATGCAATCATTGCATGATTCATCGATTCGAATTTATACGTGTCATATGCAAACATAATCTTGCGAAGCGTCTGCTATTTCATTGTAAAAATAAAACTTGTGTTAGTTGAATGTATCTTTCGATATCAGACGATTCAAGCAATAATATATCCAATGTACATAGTAAAATAAAATGTGTCGTAATCCACGACACATTTATATGTGTAGGTTTATGTAAATCGAACTATTAGAGTATAAATACAAAAAGGAAAGAAAACAACTGTCATATATGGCAAACTTAGATGATTTTTAGATATACTGAATTATTATACTATACAAAATGTTTTGATGAAAATGATTTTCTATACAAAAATAAAAATAAAATATTGTTGCTTCGCAATTTTTGTTTTACATCTGATAAATATTTCATTGGTATTATAATCGATAAGCGTAAATAATGCGTCGAAGAAAAGAAACAGTTTATTCATCAGTTCTGTGAATATATATTTGAAACAACAGGAATTAGTTTTTATTTGACGTACTGTGTAACTCTTACTCTAAAGAAGAAATGGACGTAAGTTAGAACTTCTGAAAAAATAGAAGTTTCTGTTATATAAAACGAAATATGTAATCGATTGTTTAAATGTCTATATTATCGATTAAGCTTTTCATCGAAATACTGCGATGAGATGAGAACTCATGTCGACCATTCGAACGGTATACTCCTTTTTTATCAATCGTTTTATAATTTCAGTCTTATATATGTCGAGAAATCTTGATTCTTCATCCTTGAGATAAAAGGTTTCAGTATATATGTATCATCAGGGGTGGCGCGAAGAGGTTGAAGCAGGTGGGGGGTCAGCCCTAAAATCGGAGAAAGTCAAAAAGTGTTCTCTAAACTGAAATTTTCTCCGAATCAGAATTTTGTAATATATTTCTCCAAAATCGGAGAAAATCGTCTACTCATTTTCTCCAAAATTGGATTTTTCTGGATTCAAAGAAATATATTCAACACTATTGTATAAATTCGCAGAAAATTCAAGTTTGGAGAACATTTTTGGGTGATTTTTCACAATCTTTGAGAAATATATTATACAAATTTCTCGAAAATCGGAGAAACTCGCCCAAAAATGTTCTCCAAACTTGAATTTTCTCTGAATTTCAAGGAAATTATCGAGTATATTTCTCCAAAATCGGAGAAAGTGCCAGCCAAAATTTTCTGGAGCAGGAGGGGGTGCCCCCCCCTCCCCATCCTCCCGGTCGCGCCTCCCCTGTGTATCATATTGTTTTGTTTAAAGCACTGAAATATGTGAAGCCTTTAATCTCAATAATTCAATAGTGAAAGTTTCTCAAAATATATTTAAAATTTTCGTATCTATCTTATGATTGAACGATTCTAATTCCACGTGATATTTTGAAACCCGAACCACAGTTCCAAATAGTTTTTGGAATCACCAAATTCTACCTGTGAGATAAAGGAACACATAGAAAAATAATAGAAAGAGATAATATTAGTTTATGAATGGACTAGTAAAGATCTTCAATGCTAAATGAGCACATTAAAATAACAAAAATTTAAATAGTTAAATTTTTATGTTATAGTCGTTCTTCAGAGATTTGCATCGTGGTCACGAACGTGATCCAAAAAAAAAGAAAATTTTTTCACAACATTCTTTTCTAACGAAACTAGAAGAGTAACTCGAATTGAATCTTTGGTTCAAAATTTTCTTCTTGTCAAATATCGTTTCCAACTTACAGATATAATACGTCGTTGGTACACTCTAAAAAACTAGATTTTCTCGGAAATCGAGCGACTCTGGTTTTTTAAAGTGTGCCTACGAACAATGCGTAACATTTTTCTTCGCTAAAGATCGTTCAATCCTCACGTGTTAAATGACATGTCGAAGATGAAAACCTACAACTCAAATTATTCTTCTGTTAATTCTAAAATTGTATTATGAATAAAAACTTAATACATAACTCATTAGTATCCTACTGACTTTGTTCATTATCTTCTGATTATAGAAGATACACATGCTTTACTTATAAGCATTGTATAATTACAATATGCTCTATATTCAAAAAACCTTCAATTAATTGTAGATTAGAAAAAAAAAGATTTGAAAATGTCGAAAACAAAATTAGTTTTGGAAAATTTGTCAGATGAGATAATAATGGAAATATTTGATTATCTTTATGGTCATCATATATTTTTTTGCATTTTTTGATTTAAATCATCGATTCAGAAACATCTTTCTAAATTACCCACAAATACATATTGATGTAAGAAATTTATCATTTTCACAACGAATATTAAATCGATTTTTACATTCAATTCAATCAAAAAATGTTGCTTCATTAAAATTTCATGGAGATAAATGGATTTCACACATTTCAATTAGATATTTTACTTCATTACATTCACTTACATTTTTTGCTTCAAAAAATTTAATAAGAATAAAAGAACTTCTTGAAAAACTTCCTTCACCTGATCAATTACAACATTTATTAATAAATGTAAATAATATATTCCAAGATGATACACGAATATATATACAACCATCTTTCGACTAACTAATCGAAAACAATTTGAATTTCATTGTATTCAAGATGCTGCAGATTTTGATGTAGTAAATCGACCATTATTATCACTCAAACATTTTAGAGTTGATTGTTCTTATTTTAATGATTTTCTAAAATTTGCTCCATTTCTTCAGAATTTAATTGGTTTACACCTTTCACCGAAGAACTATCATCATCATTCCAATTTTATTATAATTGTTCCAAAAAATTGTTTATCAAAATGAAAATCTCTTTTGTCATACGTAATATAATATTCATTCAATGATTAAAGCACAAGACTGGAAGAAATATTTAAGTCATATGAACTCATTGAAAAAATAGAAATTAATGTGCGCAGTCTTCACAATGGAGAAGTTATTGATCTATCAAAATATGAAACAACATTTTGGAAAGAACGAAATTTAACAGTTATTGAATATATTGATTATAAACCTTTGAATCGATTTTTTGCTTCAAATAATCAAACTGCTCTTTTAATTATATAATAGAATATAAATTGTCTCGTATAATCTTTTTGATATACTTGATATTCAAAGATACTCAAGCACATAAATAAAAAATCAATTCGGTGTTCAGATTGTATGTAAAATACAAAAGAACAAGAGTATTCCGAGTCTGTCTTGTGACATAATACAATCAATATATCTATTAATGATGTATTGAAAAGCAATAGCAAGGGAATGTTCATAAATGTTGATGGCTTTATAAGTGGAAACCAAGAAAATTGAATCGTGTTGTAATGAAGAATCAGTTTTAAAGTCTACTTTGTCTATGCAACTCGAAAACCAAACTTAAAATAATGAACTTGCTCAACAAGATATAATTATTAATTTGTATATGTCACAGGCACAACTAAACTTAAGAGAACATGCATGGGAACATTAAGAATCACAATAATATGATTTTTTGCAACATGCTCTTTTTATTATCTCATTCGATTCTACGTGAAAAAGTGTGGCTATGAATATTTTCTAAACTGTGGAACCCTATATTCACGGAGCTATACCAGCACACCTCGAAACTACGAAAAAAAATGATTTTCAGTAATTTTGAATTTCTGAAGCCAAATTAGATTGTACAATGTTGATCAATGTCTCATTTGAAAGGCCGTGTAAAGCTACATCGACTGGCATATTTTACTTTTCAGAAGTGTTTGTTTTCTTCGAGAAAAGTTTTAATTTTTTACAACACTTCAGAAATTTTTGAGCATTTCTTTTTCTTATGGCAGCTTTTAAAGTGACAAAAAAAGATGAGTACTGGTTCTTGTAGAGCATTCAATTCTGCACAAGATGAACTAGCTCTCGATGTCTCAATGGGTGCGCGATATCGAGAATTTTGAAGCAAATTTTGCAGGTAGTAATGTGAAAGGAGGAATGTCGCTTTCATTAGTCTTCCTGTTACAAGATTTGTTTTCGATTTCATTTGTATATTAATTAGGGTATCCAGTTGAGCCTATGTGTCAAATCAAAACTTGAAAATTTTACTCTTCGATTTTTTGTGCCTGAGCCCTCCAGGGATCGAAAACTATTTTTGTTTTTGACACTGATTTCTTACAGTTATTTCGATAGAACTCATTGTGCTGATCACGAATATCATATTTTTATTAAAACTTGCTCGGAAAATAAGAAAAATATCAAGCACTTTTCCTATCTCGGTAGTATAAAATTCTAACTAGGAAATAATATTTTTTTTTACCCATTTATCTTTGTAAAGTTCTTTTTGAAGTGTTGACGTGACTTCAGTATGATTCAATTTTTCGTTCTCTATCTAGATCTGGAAGAATTTTCAAGAATATTACTTGTATTCTATTGATAATAGCACATTTCCGATCCCAATTTTCTATTATATACAAGGCTTGATCAAAAGTGCATATAACACAGTTGCATAAAAGAGCTTCCATCTATTTCGAAACTCACAGTGAATACATAATTTTATCGGGATGTGGGTGTGAGTATGGGTGCTTGTGTTTCTTTCATATACGTCCACACACCTGCACCCACATTTCTGAGACTTTGAAATAACTCGACATTCCAATTGAGTTTGAAATTTATTTTATAAGAATCGAAAGACAGTCAAAATTACAGCAAACACGGAAATCGCATTGATGAAACAAAATTTTAATGCATGCAAGGAATTCAAGTTTGTTTGTTCTAGTCGGGTCGAATTTTTATTTTCAGTAACAGATGTCTACTTATAACGTACATTTCGATGACGATTACGATGAATTCTGCCACGGCCATGAAAAGTACTAAAACCAGAGGAACATGTATTACGCAAAGTTTTCTGTTTTTCTAATATGATCGTTTACCTATCATGACCATTGCATCTGTATCTTCTTATTTTAGTACACGAATTGTTCTCAAGTAAAGTATAATTATTACACAGATATGATGGATTGTAAGCATCCCAACGAGTGTCGATCAATGGTTCATGTCTTGGATAAACCCAAAAATTATTTTCTCGACTAGGATCACCATGGTAAAACTTGTTTGGTATGGCCGCCTAAACGGAAAACACATTAAGCTTCGAGATATCAGCGCCTTTATAACAGCACAGACAGTAAAGCTATCTTTTAGGAGCAGCATTTCATCGATGGACCATTTTATTAATGATTTTTTAAAAGTATATATAGACGTCTTGAACCAAATTGAAAATGTAGAAATCTCTAATAATTCTTAAAGAAGATTGCTCTGTAAGCCGAGATATTCCAAACAAAATTGTCATCGTTCAATTGTTTTCGATAGCAGAATGAGCTGAAAAACGACCTAAGTATTCGTTGCATCTTGATTCGCTAATTATGGTCATTCGAAAGGAATACTACTTGGGTAACAGCTACTTGTTCATGGCATTTGCCCACACGTGCGAGCTTTTATCAAATCGACCTCATACACAAAGTCTTATCAGCTTCACTATCCATTTCGAACGCAGAAATTTCTAGGAAAGTCAATTTGTGCGAGATTTTCTATCCTTTGTTGTTTCAAGAACAGAATGCTTTTCAAAAACAATTTTTCAGTATCATTCTTGCTCCAATAAGTTTTCACCTATAATCTCTTGATTTAGTACTAATACATGGTTAAGCACGTCTCGAGTGAAGATTAAGGTACAATATTTCTACGATGGAGGTTTGCCATATGCGAAAACATACGCTTTTGAAAACGTCAAACGAGTAGGTATCACAGCCAAGATCATTTTGTTTTATTCTATTACTGTTAAATATACGAGAGCTTGTGACTCAAGTAACTTATACTTAGAAGTTGAATCATTTACGAATCCTTGAACACTTCACCTCCTTTTATATCATAAAATATATTTTTCAACCTATACACATCTGTATTTTATTAGCATTTTCAAAGGATAGAAAAATCTAAATACGTCTAGATTTAGGACTCGCCAATATTCAATCAATATTATCAGTATATAAATCACGTAGATATTCAACTGTACTTGCGACTGTTTCATTTCATTTACACTGATTATTTTTACATTGACCACTAAGATGATTTATAATGTTTTTTTGTCTTCATTGGAGAGGATTTTTGCAGTGAGTAGATTAAATAAATAAATAAATTTCCTCTTCATGCCTATTCACTTTCATTCTTATCTATCCAAAATACATTTTCCTTTTTCTCATTTGTATAAAATCTATCTTTTCATCCTCACATTCTGTCTCTTTTGTTCAGTGTTTATTGCGAAGTTTTTACATTCGTTCTAGAGAACATAAAGATCAGTCTATGAGTAAAGAATAGAACCTTTCACTCTCTGATTTCCTTCCGATCCCATGAGTCTTATCATTACATACATTTGGATAAATAGAAGGTTGAGCTACACCATCACTACCACCACCATAGCAGACACTATAACCAGAACAGTGTTTCAGATTGAATATTTGACAAACAATTATCTTTTCAGATAAACAATTATTTACTTTTCGTGACCATTACATTTGTATCTCCTCACTCCAGTAAACAGATTGTTGTCAAGTAAAGTAAAATCATTACATAGATGTGATGGATCATAAGCATCCCAACGAGAGTTGACCAATGCTTTTTCTTTTGGATAAACCCAAAAATTATTTTCTCTATCAGGATCACCATGGTAGATCTGGTACGACATGACTGCCTAAAAAAATTGATCAAGATGCTCTTAGCTAATGTCTGTTGTGTCGGCGAAACGAATTCGATCAAATGAAAGATTCGAATGATAAAACATTGAACTTTTTGTTGCGGTATGCCCTAATAACAGATATGTGTTGATCTATTCTAGGATGAAATGAGCAGATATTAGAGTTTCTGACAGCAGACACATTAAGTAGGTTGAAATTTTGTGGTTCTTGTTTCTGTATTGCAAATCTTTGACTTTAGTTATACTCATCCATTCACTGGACATAATGCAATGATACAGATTATTTCTATAGAAAAATGTTGGTAACTGATAGAAAACGCTAATAATCGTTCAAACAGCAAGGCTACAGTTATTACATCGAGCCAGACAGGCATTAACATTTTTCAGGTAAAACAAAATGGAAACAAGTAAAAGCCCTCAATGTCTAACAAACAAAGTAGCTTAATGATTGGAACAACCGATGAAAATATGTTGAAATAGGATTAGGATGATCTATGAATTATGACAAAACTGTTTTCATCTCTTAGTGATTAAATACGTTCATTCTTCGCAAAATGCTATAAATATGCTTCGCTCACGGTTGCAAGTTGATGTGACTACAGAAAGATGTGGGCGTGGGCATGGTATGGATGAAATGAAGACTGACACGCATATCCAAACCCAAACTCTGACATTCACACCTCACCCTACACTGCAAATTCACATCTCCACGAATATACCCTCAATAAATTGAGAAAAAAAACACGGGTGAAAAAGGGAAAAATTCAATGTATGGACATTTGAGGATGAGAACACCTTCATTGTAATCAAAATATTTTCTAGCAGAAAAACGAAAGTTAACATTTACATACACAATATTGCAGAGAATTCTGAGCTCTGTCAAAATATATTATTTTTCTTCAAAACCTTTGTTTTATGTTTTTGATATATTTAGAATACCAGCTACATTTTTTCCCAGAGATGCACGTATATAATGCACACAGCGACGAATACCATTCATTTACCGTCTGACGTCATTTCCATAAAATGTGCTTCATTATTACTTACATTTGAATAAACAGGAGGTTGAGCTACGCCACCACTACCACCACCATAGCAGACACTATAACCAGAACAGTGTTTCAGATTGAATATTTGACAAACAATTATTTTTTCAGATCAACAATTATTTACTTTTCATGACCATTACATTTGTATCTCCTCACTCCAGTAAACAAATTGCTGCCAAGTAAAGTAAAATCATTACACAGATGTGATGGATCATAAGCATCCCAACGAGAGTTGACCAATGCTTTTTCTTTTGGATAAATCCAAAAATTATTTTCTCTACCAGGATCACCGTGGTACAACTTGTGCGACATGACTGCCTAAACAAATTGATAAAGATGCTTCTAGCTAATGTCTGTTGTGTCGGTGAAACGAATTCGACCAAATGAAAAACTTAAAAGATAAGGTGTAATATTCATGGGTATCATATTATTTACAGAAGAAATATAAGCGACCAATTTTGCCGACGTGTTGAAGAAGAATGGACGTGCATGTTACCTATCCATGGAGAAAACTCTAGAGCCAAGAAAGAGAAGAGCGGCGCTTTCAAAAATTTCGCATTTAATGTAACATATAAATGTAGAGTCGAGGGTGTGGGTGTTGATAAAAACAATACTGACCCTTGCTTTCCATCCAATACTCAGACCCAGACCCACACCCACATCCACACCCACACACCCACACACCCACACCCACACCCACACACCCACACCCACACCCAATAGAAGATAATGTGTT